CGCCGCCCAGCAGCCCGGGTTGCAGCTCGGCTTTAGCGGTGGTAGGGCTGCATCACCGTATCCATGTCTGCCCTCGCCTACCGGCGGCGTTTCGGGTCAGGGCTTTAGTTTTCCCTCTTGGGGCCCAACAGCTCCAGCGCGGTGAGAGAGGGATGGGCGGCCACGGGGCCAGTTGCTGGCTCAGCCAACGCGCGCTCGCAGATGAAGCTGAACTGCCGCAACCAGGCGCTTTGCTCCCAGGTTGTGCCCCAAACAAGACCTCCCTTCCCAAGCAGCAGCAGCTTCGACAATAAACATCCTTTTACCACGATTCAGACAATTACTGGATCCTAGCAGCTTCTTTTGAAAATAAAATAAGAAATAGCACGTGCGCTATGCCGGCTCCGGGGCTCTTTGCAATCGTGGTAGCAGGGGTTTTGGTTTTATTTTGTTGAAACTTTCTCTCCCAACTCAGAAAGTATCCATTTCTCTCCCTCCATACAGTAACATTATTTTCCCTTGAGAAAAATTCTCCACGTTGGCTCGGTGACCAGATATAGTTACACATTAATTCTTCAGAAGTTTCTTAAAACTGTAGGAAACAGGTGAAAAAACAAAATGCCTTGAACTTTAAACTTGAGCCCATTCTGTTTGAATGAAGCGAGTTTTAAGGTCACTCTTTACTCAATGCTAACTTTCAAGAAGGACTAACATGCCAGAGAGGACTCCTGGGACTGCATCCTGTTGGTCCTTTGATGCTTTCATTTTGTTGCTTGCTATTTTCTTTATAGCACAGACAAGGGCTTCCTGCCTGGGCCGACCCCTTTCCAACCTTGCTGAATACCTCGGAAAAAGTTTATGGCAAGACACCTTTCTTATATTAACCACAGAGGCACCAGCGAAACGATGGCTCCTTTGAAATCAAGAGGTTACGGTCTCCTCGCAGCAGTCGTCCGCTCAGAAACAGCGAGCTGCTGGTTTGTGAAAACAAACAAGAGTATTAGAGTAACCAGTGCCACGCTGGACGCTACCGGGCACTACCTGAAACACCACTTAACCTACTTTGCAGATAGTTTTAATTTCACCCTTGGATAGTTTACATCCCCAAACCAACAAACACGCCTGCGCTCAAGCTGGAGTGTCTCGGAGGTATTTATCACCAGGAGGCCGAGCAAGGATGCTTTCCCTTCGGACAAGCATCAATCACAGCGCTGCTCACGTGCCTCGCACCCATTCGGCATCACAGCAAACATTTGCCTTTTGTCTGTTTGAAACCGTTTCAAATCACTTTCAACTCTACTGCATAGAGAAACTTTGTTAGGTTAATTTTTACTACTACCAGAAAGAGTTTCA